CAACTCCCAGAATTCTCCAGTCAACATGGGTGGACTCCAACTCCCAGAATTCTCCAGTCAACATGGGTGGACTCCAACTCCCAGAAGTCTTCAGTCAACATGGGTGGATTCCAACTCCCAGAAGTTGAAGTCCATCCATCTTAGCACTTCCAAGGTGGAGGAGCACCAGTCCAGCATTTTATTTCTCTGGGGTTCAGCTAAGACATCCACCTTGGAGAACCTCAAACTTGGGAGTCCCAAAATTGCTTATTCTAGGGGCAACTGGACTTTATCTTGTTTTGTTTTTTTCTTTGAAGATGTTTCGCTTCTCATCCAAGAAGCTTCTTCAGCTTTGACAGGATAATGGGGAAGGGAAGTCAGAGCTGAAGAAGCTTCTTGGATGAGAAGTGCGACATCTTCAGAGAAAAAAACAAGAAAAGTCCAGTTGCCTCCAGAATAAGCACCTTTGGGACAACCATGTCCTGGATCATGGAGAATCTCTACAGCATGAGTGGGGTCTCCAAACTTAGCAGCTTTAGGACTTGTGTACTTCAACTTCCAGAATTCCTCAGCCAGCCATGCTGTCTGGGGAATTCTGGGAGCTGAAGTCCACAAGTCTTAAATTTGCCAAGTTTGGAGACTCCCCCCTGCTCTACAGAGTCAAACTGGGAGGGGACGTCAGCGTCCTTGCCCACAGCTGGTGTCAGGAGACACACTGTCCCAATCTTCAAAAATAGAGCTGTCTTCCTTTAATTTGTCCAACTGCCTTTGATGACCAGATGGTGGCTAATTAGAAGATGGTAGGGTGCCTACAAGATTGATTGATTTGTGGGGCTTCAAGCCAGACTTGACTTCTGACCAGTCCCTGCTGGATGCAACAGAGCTCTTCTCGAGTTATTTTTTTTATATATAGTTTATTTATACATGTTTCAATTAACAGTGTAAACTTTGAGTCAACGGCTTACATAATAAGGTTTTCCTGCCTCCTAATCTCCACTTCTATTATCCAACCATTTATAAAACAAATCCCATGTTTGAAAATATTCTGAATCTTCCTTCTCTTTTATCTTTAATCCATCTCTTTTATCTGCCAGTCTATCCATCTCTGCACAATCTAATTTTTTTTTATTACATCTTCTTCTTTCAGTGTTACTTCATTTTTCCAAAATTGTGCAAATTCAATTCTTGCAGCCGTCAAAACATGCAATATTAAATACGAATTCCCTTTATTATATTTTTTCTGGTACTATTCCTCACAAAAATATTTCTGGCTTATGCACTATGTGCAATTTTAACTTTTTTTTCCTAACTCTGTATGTATTTTTATCCAATAGTTCTTTACTTTCGCACACGTCCACCACATATGACAGTATGTGCCTAGTGTTTGATTACATTCCCAGCATTTGACGGGATTGTTTTTAAATATCTCTTCTCAAGTTCTTATTGGGCACCTGGAAACTTGGTGTCAACTCATAAGATATTTCTATGGTCTTTTTAGAGTTGACAACCGAAAGGGAGGGGGGAGCAATGAGGCAGCTTGGAAACTGAAACTGCATTCTATAAATGTTTTCAAAGATAGTAACTAGATGACCGAAGTTTCTGCCATGCAAAATTCTAACCGGAGAGCCTGATTGATGCCTCTTGGCTATGGAGGTGTCCCATTGGAGGATATGAATTATGATACACCCAGGGGGTGGGGGAAAACCAGGGTCAAGGGTGACAATGAATGATGTGTCTCAGAGTCGGCTACACCCAGGCAATGCTGGCATGTGAACTCCCAATAAACCCTTTTGAAGTTTTGGAAGTTTGGCTTGAGACTCGTGATTTAAATGGGGTGATTGTCGGAATCCTGACACTTGGGCGGTTGCGCAGATAACTGAAGCTAAATAAAGACAAGACGATTTGCAGAGATTCGTGGTGGGTCCCTCTTTCTCTGTCCTTGTGCCTAAGCAGATTGACAGGCCTAAGAACGTTCCAGAAGCTATTCCTCTTGGATTTAGCCAGGAAACTTAAACTTTTGACTCAAGCATTGATTCGATGCCAACATTGCCACCGGATTAACTCAGTAGGTCACCATTCAATAATCCCCTACTCTTCAAACGCCTCTCAAAAGGATGAAGCATTTTATTGCTGGGTTTAGCCAGCTCTCAAAGGAAATAAAACCAACTTGGAGCACTTTAAACCATCTAACTCTTATCAGTCCTATTATTTCAACCCTACATCTCGATCCACCTAGGAAGACCAGATGGGAGAATGGTGGTGGTCCCAGGATGGTTCAGAAATTGTAAATTTCCCCAGGTCTTGGGCTGCCCTTTCCCTTTCCAAAACTGACCTTATCTTTTTAAAAAATATATTGTTTTATTGGTACTTTTTAAAAATATACACAAAAAGTCAGTGTTAGCCGGGTGCAGCTGACTCTAAGACACATCATTCATTTCCCCCTTGACCCTGGTCTTCCCCTCACCCCCTGGATGTCTATTCTCCAATGGGACACATCCATAGCCAAGAGTCATCAATCATGCTCTCCAGTAATAATCTTGCGTGCCAACAGCTTCGGCTGCCAAGGCGATTATCTGAGGCATTTAAGGAATGCACTGTCTTCCCGCACTCCCTTTCTGCTGGCAACTAAAAAGACCAAAGAAGTATTTTTTAGTTGACATGTAGGTTAGTTCAATATTTTTTTTTGCCTTTGGGCATGTCCACCACATATGATAATATGAACCTGGTACCTGATTACACTTCCAACATTTAGCTGATATATTTTCAAACATCTTTGCTAGTCTCGCTGGTGGTAAAAAATGCCATCTATAAAACATTTGGTATAGATTTTTTCTGAAATGCTGTTGACGTTGTTAGTTTACAGTTTCTATCCCGCAGTTTCTGCCGTTCATCTAGTTCTATTGAACAACCCGAACTGACCTTATCAATGGTCCTCAGCTTCAGTCCGGTTTTCCCACGTTCGTCCTTGCACAGGTGGATCTCGCGCAAACCCGGTTTGATCTCTGCTCGGCGCAGCCCTGCGTCACTTCCGGTCACAGGGGCCACCAACAGACCCGGGGCTGAGGAAGGTGGACTCGCGGCCTGCCAAGGAAGCCAAGTTGAAGAAGCCATGCGGAAAGAAAGAAATGATTCTCCTCAAATCCAGAAGGTTTGCGAAGGTCCAAGTTCCACTTCAACTTTTAGGGTTGACTCCATCAACCCATGAGGAGATTGGAGGCTCAAAACATATGAAGAAGGGTTTTGCAGGAATTGGGTATGTCTCGTTTCATGAAAAGAAGAAATCTTCAGAAATCGTGGTCACTTCCATCCCTGGAGGTTTCTAAGAAGAGACTGGACAGCACTGGGTGGGACTAGAATGGGGGTCACCAACCTTTTGGACCTCAGGACCACCAAACTCATAATTTCAAATCCCGCAGACCACTAATATGAATTTTGACTGACGTTGGTGGGAAAGTTGGTTCCATATTCCAGAGATGCCATAGTCACAGGACCTCCATCCGGGTACACCGGCTGACCACGGACTGGAGGACGCTGCTCCGGGATGACCAAAGGGCCAGTCCAGTGACTCCTGCAGCTCTGGAATACGGGACCGACTTTCCTACCAATGTCAGCAAGCCACCCCAGGGTGGATTTCCCTCCCCTGCCGTTGGTCTTGCCTTCTAGTTCCAGGTTATGTAGCTCTACTCCAGGTAAGGTTTGCGCTCGGCCAAAGGGTGGGGGGGCCAACGGGTGGGCAGGCCGTGTGGGCGGCACAGCCTTCTGTTCCTGCACAGCCTGGATTAATTGCTTTGGGGGGTGACATTTCTTTATGGATCACCAAAATTTTCTCGTGGACCACCAGTAGTCCCCAACCCACTGGTTGGCAACCACTGGACTAGATGACCTCCAAGGTCCCTTTCAACTCTGTTATTCTATTCTAAGATCCCTCTCATAGGTTAGTGGCAAACTAACATCTCCTGCGTGAACATGAATCTACGAGGAAAAAAAGGCACAAGGGAATCTCTTCCATGACTGCGTTCAAAAATGCTTACAGAATCGCCTGTCGGAACGAGACCTAAATTCCTCTGGATCTCATCGCTGGAAAGAGAGAGGCCCATGTAATCATTGAGATCGGCAAGATTTGGGTACAAAACTGGCGGTGCTGGAAAAAAGAAAAGAAAAGGAAGAAATAACACTTTGTTCAAAGGATTGGCTGGCTGGCGTATTTTGGTCTTGGCTCAGGCGAAGCTTGCAAGATCCCACCAGCCCAACCCGCCTCGAGATGGTGTCCACGAATGAAGGAGACATCTCGAATTATTTTTAAGGGCCAAATGTCCATATCAGCTCAGCAGGGTTGAACATGGTCCATCTCAGGGGTGGGATGCAAATATTTTTTTTACTACCGGTTCTCTGGGCATGTGGCTAGGTGGGCGTGGACATGTGACTGGGTGGGTGTAGCCTCTTTCTTGCTTTTTGGGGGGGCATCGCCCCCCCTGCGTTTCATTTTTTGGCCTCCTGGGCCTCAGGGAAGCTTCCTGGGCAAAGCAGTGAGACAGTGAAGGGGATCCCAGAACAGCTGATCATCAGGAGGAAAAAAAAGAAAAGAAATACCTAAATCAGTGACTGGGTGGTGGAAAACGCAGTCCGCGATGTCGGGCCTGCGCGATAAGGACTGACTGGGTGGGGAAGGGAAGGGAGGGCAGAGAGGGGAGAGGCCAGCCAGGGACACAATTTGCCGGCTCTCCGAACTGCGCAGAATCGTAACAACCGGTTCTATAGAACCGGTGCGAACCGGTAGAATCCCACCCCTGCTCCGTTTCCATGTTTTGTTTGAATTTAGCAACCTCCTCGCTGTCGGACTCTTCCGCCAGATCTCAACGGAAGAGCTCATTTGGATGATGACCCCCAAAAGATGGGATGATGTCTGAAATACCTTACCATCTGCTTTGGGAGGTTCCGGCATCTCTCTCGCAGTAGGGGCTGGAGCTGGGGCCCTGGGCTGGGGACCGACGGTATTGTTGTCCTGGGCCTATAATGACAAAAACGAGAAGGCATGAGAGACATCGCTCCTTAACTTGAAGGAGAAGGCAATGCCGATCTCTTAGTTTCGTCTCTAAAGGACATTCCTTGTTGGTCATCACCATGAAAGACCTTCTGGGAGTTGAGGTCCACCCCTCTTAAAAACTGCCAAGTTTTGATAGCAAAGTTTAAATGTGTTTTTTCACTTTAAAACTCTAAATGATATAATTTGGGGGCGGTTGAGAAACTGCCGTAAGAGGGAGCTAGAGAACCTGGATTGCTACTGGATTGATGGTCGATTGTTCTGCGTGTTCCCTGTTGTTGACGTCGAAGGAGGAAAGAGATTTGAATGCTGCATATCTAATCTACTGTGAGAAGATATTTACTAGACTGATTTATGGATTGACATTGTGAGTTAACTGTTTGTTTGTTTTTGACACTGGATTTTTGCAATTGAACAATCTCCGGACTGAACACTAGTGAATGATATTTGGACTGTTTGACCCTGCTAAACTCTTAATGGAATAAACTATTCAACTAAGACAGTGTATCCGGTTTTACTGAGTGTGTAAACTAAAAAACGCTTTCTCTCACATTTGCCTGACTGCCTGACTGCACATTCTGCTAGGGTATATCCCTAACACTACTCTACAAAGAGATCATTGCACCGTGGACAGTTCTTATAGGCCAAAAGTTGTTGTTGTTTTTTTACCCCTAATATTAAAATGAAATTTGAAAAGGTACAACTTCCGCCCGTGAATTCTGCTTACTTCTGCAGCAGAAATAGAACAGAAAATAACACAAAATCAGCCACAAAGGCCCCATGTTATTGTAGAAGAGTGTATCTAAATCATGAAATAACACTCCAGACAGACCAGAGTTGGGGTTTGATGCTCAAAGTTAGACACCTTTGAACCAGGAAGAGAGGAAACCAAGGGGATCCAGGATCTGAAGGTGAAATTGTCTGAAGGCCATAGAAGAACCAGGTTGAGTCCTAAGAAAATGGATGGAGCTCCTGGAAGTACCTCACAAAGCAGAAGACGCATTAACTGAGTACTGGTTTCCCAGTTGGCTTCAATAAATATTCCTTGAAGTTCTTCATCTTGCACCCAAGGTTAAAGTGTGTGGGGTATAACAGAAAAACAGAAGGGTCCTTGGAGGGCTTCTAGTCCAACCCCTGTTCAAGTGGGAGATCCTATTCCATGTCAGGCAAATGGTTGTCCAATCTCTCCTTAAAAACCTCCAGTGATGGACCACCACAACTTCTGGTGGCAACCAGTATCACTGACTATTCTCACCGTCAGGAAATTTCTCCTTATTGCTAGGTTGCTTCTCGATCAGTTTCCATCCGTTGCTTCTTATCTTGCCTTCAGGTTTGGAGAATAGGTTTATCCCCTTCTTTAGGGGGGCAGCCCCTCAAATATTGGAAGACTGCTGATCATGTCACCCCTTCTTTGCGTTAAACTAGACATGCCCAATTCCTGCAACAATTCTTCGTATGTTTTAGCCTTCGGTCTCCTAATCGTCTTTGTTGCTCTTCTCTGCACTCATGAACCAATGCAGAATAACAAGGGTTGGAAGGGACCTTGGAGGTCTTCTAGTCTAACCCACTGCTCCGGCAGGAGATCCTGTACCATGTCAACCAAATGCCTGTCCAATCTCTTCTTGAAAACCTCCAGTGATGGAGCACCCAGCAACTGCTGAAGGCAAACTGAAATGGTATAGGGCAGAGGTCTCCAAACTTGGCAACTTTCAGATTTGTGGACTTCAACTCCCAGAATTCCCCAGCTGGCTGAGGAATTCTGGGAGTTGAAGTCCACAAGTCTTAAAGTTGCCAAGGCTGGAGACCCCTGGTATAGGATTTCCTGCCTAAGGAGGGGGGTTGGACTAGAGGACCTCCGAGCTCCCTTTCAACTCTTGTTATTCTATTCTAATTGTTCTCACTGTTACGAAGTTTCTCCTTAATCCCAGGTTGGATCTCTCTCTGGCTTCACCTCCCAGAATTTCCCCAGCCAGCATGCCTTAAGATGGGTAGAATCGTAGGACTGGAAGGCACCTCAAAGGTCTTCTAGTCCAACCCGCTGCTCAACCCACATTCCGGACAACGGGTTATCGTCTTGAAAATCTCCCCTGATGGCGCACCCACAACTTGTGGAGGGAAGTTTTTCCTTTGATTAAATGTTAGGAAAGACTGTCCAACTTGATGGCAAGATCTCAACCATCCGGTTTCCGGGTGTTGAAATCTAGCCCGTCGAGAGCACATCGGATGATGGAAGTTGGAGAACAAGAAAAGTAACTAGAATTATTTCATTGCATTCTTCTTGGCCAAGGTGGGAAGACTTCCCACTCCCAATGGATTGGTAGGAGAAGGCCATCTTTCACCTGGGTTTTCCACCTAGGAAACCTACAGGAGCCTCTTCAAATACTTTGGACCAGGGGTGGGATTCAAACATCTCAACAACCAGTTCGTTGCCTGGTTGCTTGGTGGGCGTGGCCTACGAGGAGGGCCATTCTTCACCTTTCCCAGAGTCCGGAGGCTTCCCTCAGGACTCTGGGAAAGCAAAAACAGCCTCCCCGGTCTCCGGAGGCTCTCCGGAAACTAGAAACAGGCCCATTTCTGGACTTCCAGAACTTCTGGATCGGCCTGTTTTTCCCCACCCAGAGCCTCCGTGCGCGCCCTGCCCTTACCTGCATCCAAAACAGGCCATGTGGAGACTCCTGAAAGGGGAGGGGAGGACCAAGAGGTGCTAGTTAGTCGGTTCAACTCCTGGTTCGGTGAACCAGATGTAAATTTAACAACCGGATCGCTCAAACCGGTCCGAACCGGCTGAATTCCATCCCTGCTTTTGGATTGAAACTCCGATAGTCTCCAGCCCAAGGAGTTCCTTAGAGCTTGGGAATTATGGAAATGAAGTCCCCGATTTGGAGTCCGAAGGCGGAGGAAGAATGGATGGATCCGATGGAGAAAGGGAAGATATTCAAAGGCTGACCTTTCGACCTCTTTTTTGAAACTCCGATTTTTCAGCTCTTTTTGCTGAACGTGGAAGCACCGTTCGTTCTTTTTGCTAGAGGCATTCCTCCACTTACGGCCGCAATTTAAGCCTCCAATTTTTGTGGCTAAGTGAGTTCTCCCCCCCCCCGCCCATTTTATGACCTTGCCACAGTCGTTAAGAGAATCACTGCAGTTGTTGAGTTAATCACGCAGTCGTTCTGTGAAATCTGGCTTCCCCCGTTGACTTTGCTCGTTTGAACGTTGCAAAAAAAGGATCACACGAAACCGGGGTATTGTGACCGTCGTAAGCATGAGTTGGTTGCCAAGGGTCTGAATTTTTTTTATCATGTGACCCTGAAGATGCTGCAACGTTCGTAAGTGTGAAAAACGGTCCTCAGTCACTTTTTTCCAGCATCGTAATTGTGTAAACGAACTGTTGTAAGTCCAGAACTACCTCCGTCTGTTGAAAGTGGTTAGAACATTAATTATAATTTAATTAAACATTTTTGCTCTAGTTGAGTAATACAAGTAATCCCTGATGAACAAGCATTTCCTTTAGTCACCATTCCAAGTTGCAACGGCACTGGAAAAAATGACTTATGACCGATCCTCACACTTATGACCACTGCTGCATTCCCACAGTCATGTGATCAAACTTCAAGGGCTTAGAAACCACCCTACACTCAGAGCAGTTGCAGTGACCTCCAATCATGCGATCCCCACTTGTGACCGTCCCAGCTGACTTCCGACAAGCCAAATCACTGCAAAAAGCCAGATTTCCACCTAATGACTACCTGGTTCATTTAATGGCAGGGATTCGCTCAATAACTGTGGCAAAAGAAAAAAATTGGGTGTGACTGACTTAACAACCACCTAGCTTCGAAACAGAAATTCTGATCCCAATTGTGGTCATAAGTCGAGGACTACCTGTGGTCGACACCTCTTAAGACCCAAAATGGAATCCGTCTATCACTTTGTCCCTTCCATTGCCCTACTCCAAGTGGTGGCTTCCGCAGAGATGAGAAGAAAGCAGTTCGCACCGTCAACATGTGATAAACCTCCATATCTTCCAGTGATGGGTACAAGGTTGACATAGTGGAGTCTCTAAAGAGAGACAACTGGAATGGCGCACGGGACACAGTCAAGGCTGAATGGTCCTAAATCATCCAGCTTCTTTCCAGAGAAGATGTCCTTGGTGTTCAGCTACAACTGTTTTCTTGAAGGACAACCCTTTAATTAAAAACAACCAAATTAACGAGGTTTGATTAAATCCAATTTGCAATAAACAAGTTAAACATTCCCCAGCCAACATTTTTAAATGCCGCCCGTTATTTTTTTTTATTTACAAATTCTAATTTTGCTCTTTTTAAAATAACAATCCTTTCTGGCTAAGATTTCTGCACCTTGCAAATTACAGGCAACGCTCGACTTACGGCCGTTAGTTCAGGGAACCGATCAAAGTTACAACGGGGCTGACAAAAGGGGGCTCGGGATCACTGTTCACACTGACGACCGTTGCAACATCTCCAAGGTGACGTGAAAATTCAGACACTCAGCCAACCGGTTCATATTTATAACAGTTGCAGTGTCCTGGGGTTGCAGGGAATCTACCGGTTCAGACCGGTTCTATAGAACCGGTTGTTATGATTCTGCACAGTTTGGAGAACCGGCAAATCATGCCCCGGGCTGGCCACGCCCCTCCCCGCCCAGTCAGTCCTTATCGTGCACAAGCGACATCGCTGACTGCGTCCTCCCGTGTCCAGTCAGTCCCTTTTTTCCCCTTCCCGATGATCAGCTGTTCCAAGGATCAGCTGCGCCGGATTCCCCCTTGCTGTCTTACTGCTTCCACAAGAGGCTTCCTTGCGCGCCACTCCCGGCTCCGTTTTTCGCCTTCGTGGACACCAGGGAATCACTGTTCACACTTACGACCGTTGCAACATCTCCATCTTCCCTTCTGGGAGCAAAAACGCACCCCCAGGAGGCTTCCCTGAGGCCCAGGAAGCAAAAAACATATGGTGGGCGGCTGCAAAAAAGCCATGCCCACCCAGTCACATGGCCATGCCCACCTAGCCATGCCCACAGAACCGGTTGTTAAAAAGTTTAAATCCCACCCCTGCCGCTTTTAGCGACCTTCTGACAAACAAAGCGAATGGGGAAAACCAGATTTACTTAACAACTGCAGCAAGAAAGGCCACAATACCCTTAACTGTTTCGCTTTGCAACGGACATTTGGGGCTCAGTTGTGATGACCCCAGAGTAGATCCGAAATATAACAAAAATCAAAATGTAACTTAAAGTCCTTCAATGCCTTCAACTTGGCTTTACTGTTTCATTGTTCACAGTGGAGGAGTAAACTATTTTAAAAAGAACATTCCAAAGGAAAGAAACACAGTTCAAATTCAAAGAGCCGATAACGAAGCAAAAATCAAAAACAAACCACGTTGAATAAAGTTCCACAACAGACCAGGATAGACAATGGCCAACTTCACAAAGATAACCAGGGACAGTCGGCTGGAAGAACGCCAACCAAGATAAATCTTCTTTAGGGATAAAACCCTAATTTGTCTCCGGCATCTGTTGGCACGCAGGTCCAGACTCTTATGCAGATCTCACACCTGCACCCCATGAAGAGGATCATGGCCCTCTCCTCCCGAGTAGTCCACGTTTTACCCTGATCCTCTCCTCCCTGAGTGCCCTAGGATGGAGAGGGGATGGGCCTGGGTCCTCCTCTAACTTCCCAGCCGGCCTCTGCCCTTCCCCAGCCTCCTCCACCACCTCCGGAGCCGCACTTCCAATCCCTGTTGGCTGTTCCTCCTCTCCCTCGGAGTCAGTCCCCAACGGGGGCATGACAGTTGTGGTCGCAAGTCAAGGACCGCTGCACTCGCTTTCATTTAATCTCACTGAAGATTTAACAGATAGCAGATCATCAGAGTCGGAAGGGACCTTCTAGGTCATCTAGTCCAACCCTCCGCCCAAGCGGGAGACCCTACGCCATTTCTGACAAATGGCAGCCCAGCCTCTTCTGGAAGGTCTCAAGTGACTTGGTGATTCTAACTAAATGCGCTTGATTAATCCGATTAATCTTAGGTCTTAAAGAGACGGAGAGATGAAACTGGTCACTTGGTTGCCACAACACAGAATAACGGAGTTGGAAGGAATCCTGGAGGTCTTCTAGCCCAACCCCCACCCCTGCCCAGGTGGGAGACCATGTGCCGTTTCAAACGGGCTTCCAATCTCTCCTTGAAAGCCTCTAGTGATGCGGCAGCCGCAACCTCTGGAGGCAAGTTGTTCCACTGGTTAAATCTGTTCTAATTGCCAGGAGATTGTCTATCTCCTTAATTCTAGGTTGGATCTCTCTTGGGTAACTTTCCATCGTCGTCCGTTGCTTCTTGTCCTACCTTCAGGGGCTTTTGGAGAAAGCATTCTAGTTGGGTTTTGAGTGTTAAAATTCCCCAGGGAATCCCAATCTTGTGCATTCTCCAGATTTTTACAAAACCAGAAGGAAGAATCAGAAAAGAGCTGGAAGTGACCTTGGAGGTCTTCTATTTATTTTATTTATTTGATTTGATTTGTCAATCGTTTTACAAGAGAATAGGTGTAAGAATAAACATAGTTATGAATGCACGAAACGGGTGCATCTAAGAAAAATAAAAAGAAACAATAGGACAGGGACGGTAGGCACGTTGGTGCGCTTATGCAGGCCCCCTACAGACCTCTTAGGAAAGGGGTGAGGTCAATAGGAGACAGTCTAAGGCAGTGGCTCCCAACCTTTTTCGAACCAGGGACCGGTTTCACGATTATTTATTCTTCCACGGACCGGTACCTGAGTAACGCGAGACTCCACCGCCATCGGGACGGCTCTTTGTTCGAAGCCGTCCCCCCCTGTTCGACGAAACTAAGGCGCGAGCACTCAAACTCCGCTTTCCAACCGAAAACCTGGAAGCAACCGAAAACCCAGAAGCGCCGTCGAAACAAGATGGCGGCACCCAAGCTTTGCATCTCGGTAAAAAATGATCCATGGACCGGTACCGGTCTGGGGACTGGTGGTTGGGGACCCCTGGTCTAAGGTTAAAGTTTTGAGGGTTTGGGGAAGAAACCACAGAGTCAGGTAGAGTATTCCAGACATTGACCCCTCGGTTGCTGAAGTCGTATTTCCTGCAATCGAGTTTGGTGCGGTTAACCTTGAGTTTGTATCTATTGTGTGCTCTTGTGTTGTTATGGTTGAAGCTGAAGTATTCATTGACAGGTAGGACATTGCAGTGTATGATCTTATATACTATACTTAGATCGGACCGAAGACGGCGTAATTCAAGGTTTTCTAGGTCTAAAATTTCAAGTCTGGTGGCATCAGGTATTCTGCAATGAATAGAGGAGTGGAGAACTCTTCTTGTGAAATATTTCTGGACTTTCTAGTCCAGAGGGAGACCCTATACCATTCCCGTGATGTCCCAAAGGGATGTGACACAAAAGCAGGTAAAGTCCCTTTAATACCTCCAACCTGGCCTCCAATGTCCAGTTATCATTGGCTGGAGAAAAAACTCTCCCAAGACCAGTTTTTAAAGGGAAGAAATTCCTTCCGAACCCAAAGTACATATAAATTATAAGTAAAAACCAACACAAACCACAGCTGCAGCAATTAATGAGAGAGGGCAGGAGGAGGAATTGCAGAACTCCAAAACACACAAGTTGGGAGGATGCCAGAATCCAGATAAGACTTGACAAACAAAAATAATGCACACTTTGCTTCCAGCAACCTTGCTGTGTGCAAACGCCCTTTTAAAATCTTGTTTTCCCAGCTGCAACTAATGAAGGGAATCATGGCCTTTTCCTCCCCCGTAAGCCATGCCACTCACATTGCTCCCTTCTCTGTTCCTCCCTGCATGCCCTGGGATGAAGAGGGGGTGGCCCTGGTTCTTCCTCTGAATGCCCAGCCAGCCTGTGCCCTTCCCCAGTTTCCTCCACAGCCCCCAGAGCCCCACTCCCACTCCCTGTCAGGTGCTCAATCGCCTCCTCGGAATCAGATTCCAACAGGGGCATGACAATTCCAGACAAATGTTTGTCTAATTTTTTTCTTAAAACCCTCCAGGGATCGAGCACCCATAACTTCTGGTGGCAAGCAGTTCCACTTGTAAATTGTCCTCACTGTTAAGAAGTTTCTCCTCAATTCCAGGTTGCTTCTCTCCTTGACGAGTTTCCACCCATTATTTCTTGCTCAAAGGAAAATATTAGTCACTTAAAGAGGCTGGCAAATAAAACTGGATCTCTCTCTCTCTCTTTCTAGTTTCCATATTGCATGACTGGGAAAAAAATAAGCTGGAATTTTTAAACAAAACTGCAAAAACTATGGATTTTAGATCAACGAGCCAGCTCTGGTGGCCGAGAGGTGGAGCACTTGCATCACCAAACTTGATTGCAGGAAAGACGACTTCAGCAACCGAAGGGTCAATGTCTGGAATACTCTACCTGACTCTGTGGTTTCTTCCCCAAACCCCAAAAACTTTAACCTTGGACTGTCTTCTATTGACCTCACCCCTTTCCTAAGAGGTCTGTAGGGGGCCTGCATAAGCGCACCAACGTGCCTACCATCCTTGTCCTATTGTTTTTTTATTTTTCTTATAAGTATCTGTCTCACGTATTCAAAACTATATTTATTCTTATACCTATATCTTGTAAACGACTGACAACAGATAAATAAATAAATAAAATAAACATATCTATATATAAAAACATCCATCTGTCTATCTATCAGTATCTATCTATTTATTTATCCATCTGTCTATCCATCCATCCATCTATCCATCTGTCTATCCATTGGTATCTATCTATCCATCTGTGTATCCATCCATCTATCTGTGTATCAATCTGTCTATCCATCTGTCTATCCATCTGTCTGTCTATCCATCCATCTACCTATCCAACCGTCTATCTATCAGTGTCTATCTATCCATCCATCTCTCTATCCATCTCTCTATCCATCTCTCTATCCATCCATCTCTCTATCCATCCATCTCTCTATCCATCGATCTATCCATCGATCTATCCACTATTGGTCACCATCTTACCCAGTTTACAATATTAAAAAGACAAAAGCTAT